GTCACACTTGGCCTCGGCTTCGTAATGAGAGAGAGGGAGATTGCATCTGTCAGATGTTCCGGGCTTCCTTTGACCAGGGTGGTTGTGTCCCTCACCTGAGTGCAAACTCATTTCCTAATTACATCTTAAATGAAAACTCCAGTTTTCAGATTTTAGGACCCAAAGATCAAATCTACTCAGCTTTATTCCGGCTTTCTTATTTTTATTTTATTTTATTTTATTTTATTTTATTTTATTTTATTTTATTTTATTTTATTTTATTTTATTTATTTATTCATGAGAGAGACAGAGAGAGAGAGAGGCAGAGACACAGGCAGAGGGAGAAGCAGGCTCCAAGCAGGGAGCCTGACGTGGGACTTGATCCTGGGTCTCCAGGATCACGCCCTGGGCTGAAGGTGGCGCTAAACCGCTAAGCCACCTGGGCTGCCCTATCCCAGCTTTAGACAATAAGCTTGTGGCTAGGACTGTCCCATCTTCCCATCTCCACTCCCCTGACCTTACCCACCCCCCACCACTCCAGCCTGACCACTCCCCACCACTTCTTTGCCTAGTACCTTTCTCACTAGGGGAAGGGCCACTTCTCCCCAGAGGTTGGACCCATACCTGGTGGGGAGCAGATGTTCTTGGGTAATAGCTGTTGCTGTGCAAGGGAACAGAACTTGTTCCCCAGCAGCAGCCCCACAAAGGGCCGGCCTCTCCTAACAGTAGGAGAGCCTTGTGGTTGAACCTAAATAGGCACAGCAAACTTTCTGGGTGTGGAGATTCCAGGAGAGCGGGCTAAAATCTCCAGAGAGCTGGCCTATCTCCTTACAGAGGGTATTCTTTCAACGGGGTCTAAGGCCTTTTCATCCTGGGACACAGCCTCCTCCCAACTTAGCAAGCGGCAGGCAACAAAATGACAAGAATAAGAGGAAAAGAAAATAAATCCATTGCTTTCTTTGTTCTGTCCACAGTAATTGCTGTATTGGAATAGGGATAAAAGCTGAGCATTGTCCTGGACATAGAGTTGCCAGATATCCCAGAAAATAAATATGGAATGACCTACCACTCATTGCTTTAACCCATTCGATTGTGTTGGGATTCAACAAGTGGATGAGCCCATTCATTCATTTGTTTACTGATTTTGAATATCCTATACTGGAGGCTGGGGCTGAAGAGGGAGCAGAAACAATGATCACTGATAATGCTCTTGACTTTGAGGACCTTAGTTCAGAGGTGCAAATAGATTCCAGGGCCATGAAGTCTGGGAAGGGCCAGAGAGCCAGGGAAGGCTTCTCAGAAAGGGGGACAATCAAATTAGGTCCTGAAGAATGAGAAGTTTACCAAGGAGAAAAGTGGACTTCATCCATGCCTAGGGAGACCCTGCAATGGTGAAGTCTCCTTCCCCCTGGTCAGACTGTGTCCCATCTTTTCTAAGTCTAAATGAAAATCATTTCTGTTCAGATACCTAAGGGTCAGGAGGGTTGCTGATCCAATCAGGGTGTGCTTCCTGGATAGGAATCTGATTATCAGCTCACCATCATGGCAACTGTCTGAGCACCGACCCCTTTCCCTGTGTCCATTCTGCTTCACATCTCGGGCCGCACAGTGGCTCCACCACATCTCCCCATTCTGCTCACATCCTCTTGTTCTTCACTGCTCCCAGGAGCTCCCCTCCCCCAGCTGTTCAGAGCAGAGAGACAACAGATTCCTGGGTATTCCCACCTCTTCTGCATCTTCACAGATCTCCTTCCTACAAGCCTTGACCTTAACCTCTCTTGGGTCTGTTTCCTCTTCTGTGGATGGGCATAATAATATCTTCCTCACAGGTTTGCTAGAAGGATCAAATAAAATAAACCATGTAAGTTGACAGGGATCTGGCTTCCATTAATGATGGCCATCATTTTTCCACTCTGCAAGAATTTATATCACAAGTAATCCCTTGTCCTCGTATATCTTTAATCTCTCCTTTGACTCTCTTAGTTGTTTGAAAAATCTTAGATCTGTCCTAAATTGATATCTTTCTTCAGGCATGCTGTCCTCAGCCCATTTTATGGCTTCCTTTACTCACAAAGATCTTAACAAGTTTCCACAAACTTGCCTTCAACCACCATTTATCAAAGACTTGCTCCCCTCCAAAGCAGTGGTCAAGATCTCTCTGTAGTCCTTATCCCCCTCCATGGCATGGGCATATTTAATGCTAAGGGAAGGGAGCTCCAAGAGGAAAAGAATGGTTAGTTGTCAAATGTGGCCACTCAGTGTATAATCCATTTTGAGTTGATTTTTTGTATAAGATCTGAGATTTAAATCAAGTTTATTTTTTGCCTATGGATATCCAACATCATTTGCTAAAAACACTATATTCATTGAATTCTTTTATTGCACCTTTACCAAAAATCAGTTGACCATACTTACGTGGGCTATTTCTGTTCCACTGATTTTGTGTTATCCCTCTATCCATACCACTCAGTTTTGATTACTGTAGCTATTTAATAATATTTAATAAGTCTTGAAATCAGGTAGACTAATTCCTCCTTCTTTATCTTCTTTGTCAAAATTATTTTAGCTTTGTCATTTCACATAAACTTTGACAATAAGCTAGCCTCTATCTACAAAAGATTGTTGCTGAGATAGAAACTGCGGGGGATCCCTGGGTGGCGCATCGGTTTGGAGCCTGCCTTTGGCCCAGGGCGCGATCCTGGAGACCCGGGATCGAATCCCACATCAGGCTCCCGGTGCATGGAGCCTGCTTCTCCCTCTGCCTGTGTCTCTGCTTCTCTCTCTTTCTCTCTCTGTGACTATCATAAATAAATAAAAATTAAAAAAAAAAGAAAGAAACTGCGTTAAATGTATATATCAATTTTTCAACTGACATCTTTACTATGCTGGGTGTTTCAATCCACGAATATGGTATGTTTCTCCACTCACTTAGATCTTTGACTTCTTTCATCAGCATTTTGTGGGTTTTAGCATATAAATCCTGTATATGTTTTCTTAGATTTATGCCTAAGCATTTCGAATTTTTTGCATGTACATGTGTTCATTGCTAGTATATAGAGAACTAACTTTCTGTATGTTGGTCTTGTATCTTGCATTCTTGCTGAATTCACTTATTTGTTTAGGAGATTTTTTTTTTTTTTTGAAGATTTGTTTGGAATTAAAAAAAAAAAGATTCTTTGGGATTTTCTCCACAGACCATCATGTCATCTACAAATAGAGGTGGTTTTATTTTTTCCTTTTTGATCTATATGCCTTTTATTTCATTTTTTTAAGACTTTATTATTTATTTATTCATGAGAGATACACACACACACAGAGAGGCAGAGACACAGGCAGAGGGAGTAGCAGGCTCTATGCAGGGAGCCCGACATGGGACTCGATCCCGGGTCTCCAGGGTCACGCCCCGGGCCGAAGGCAGTGTTAAACCACTGAGCCACCTGGGCTGCCCTTCATTTCATTTTTTAATAGCTGGCTAGAACTCCCTTTGTTGAACAGCAATGAAAATAGTGGACATCCTTGCCTTATTTCCAGTTGTAGGGGGGAAAGCATTCAGTCTTTTAAGCTTAAGTCTGATGTTAGCTATATGTTTTTCGTAGATGTTCTTTATTAAGGTGAGGAAGTTAACTTTTATTCCTACTTTGCCAAGAGCTTTTGTCATGAATAGATGTTGAATTTTGTCAAATGCTTTTTCTGCATCAAATGATATGATTATGTGATGTTTCTTCTTTAGCCTTTTAACATGGTGGATTACATTGATTAAATTTTCTTTTTTTTTTTTAATTTTCGATTATTAAACCAACATTGCATCCCTGAAATAAATCCCTTTTGCGTGCTGTAGAATTCTTTTTATGTATTGCTGAATTCTACTTGCTAATATTTTGTTAAGAATTTCTGTATCTATACTCATGAGGGATATTATTCTATAGTTTTCTTTTTTTGTTACTGTCTTTGGCTTTGGTATCAGAGTAATAAAATGAGTTTCATAAAATGAGTTGGGAACGTTTCCTTCTCCTCTCCTTTCTGCAAGAGATTGGCATTAATTCTTTAAGCATATGGTAAAATTCTCTAGCTTTTAAAAATAGTGGTTCTGGGGGACCCAATCTGGAGCAAATAAAGCTGAATTTCTGGGGATGGAGCTTGAGTGAAGGTGCTTATCCAAAGCTCTGCAGATGAGCTTATTTACTGTACAGCCAGCTGTGGAGCTTTGGTGTGGTATTGGCCTTGAGGCAAGCATGGGAGGGCTAGCTGATGCAGAATCTATCTGAAGAATGACATAAATTAAGCAACAGGGTGGCTTAGGGAATTTGGCTCTCTGAGACATGCCCCAGGAGCCTGTGATATCTTTGGGAGCATATGGTTTAATGGGGACATTGGTCATATAAGGCATCTGGGTTTAACTTGGCTGTTTAGAAGCCATGAATTCCTTACTTGCAATTTCAGTTTCTTGGTAAAATGCCGCTCCTCAGAATGTTTTGGGAATAAAACCACACAGTAGATAATAAATTGCTTTCAAGCCTACCCAACATTTCAAAAAGGTAGACATTAATGTTTCTTTGAGCCCCAGAATCATTCTTTTTTTTTTTTTAATTTTTATTTACTTATGATAGTCACAGAGAGAGAGAGAGAGAGAGAGAGAGAGAGGCAGAGACACAGGCAGAGGGAGAAGCAGGCTCCGTGCACCGGGAGCCTGACGTGGGATTCGATCCCGGGTCTCCAGGATCGCGCCCTGGGCCAAATGCAGGCGCCAAACCGCTGCGCCACCCAGGGATCCCGTCCCCAGAATCATTCTTACTGCCACTGTGTCATGATTCCCAGTAAGTCCCACTATGAGGTCAGTGGAAGGTTTTTGACTCCAGCTGGTTGTAGGACCAGTGTTCTCAGGCTGTGGAGAAACTTCCTTTTCTTCCCTGCTCACTTACTCTGCCAATGGAGTTTGCGCTCTGATAGGAACCAGTGGGACCTTGGTTACAGTGAAAAGGGACTTTGGCCTTAACTGGTGCCCTTCTTCTCACCGTCCATAGGAACATGCTTGCCAATTCAGGCAGTGTGAGGATTCTCATCAAGGGAGGCAAGGTGGTGAACGATGATTGCACCCACGAGGCTGATGTCTACATTGAGAATGGCATCATCCAGCAGGTGGGCCGTGAGCTGATGATCCCCGGAGGGGCCAAGGTGATTGATGCCACTGGGAAGCTGGTGATCCCTGGAGGTATTGACACCAGCACCCACTTCCATCAGACCTTCATGAATGCTACGTGTGTGGATGACTTCTACCATGGGACCAAGGTAAGGCTCCTGTTTGCTGAAAGTGCCTCCCCTTTGGCTTCTTCTGTTTGTGGGGCTGCTCCAGAGTAGGCCCATGTGAACAGGATGCCCTCGCTGTTTGCTGAAAGAAGGGTACTCTCATGGGGCCATGGTGGCAACTGACATAGGAAATTCCAGGCTGGATGTCATAGATCCCCATTACTACTAAAAAGGAGGTACATAGTAGGCCAGTCTTATAGATCATATCACTTACCTATGTACTGAGGCCGGACACTGATTTTATGTTTACATTTCTGTGTCATATAATGCAGACCTACCTAGAAGAAGAGAATTAGCTGGTGTTTGTTATTGTGCATGTACGTGATGGGGAGTGAGGTATTGATCCGATGGACTCCTTTGTGTATGATAAACTAAACCCATTCCTTAAAGATTGTGACAAATAGATATGCCTCTTCTAGATTATTTTAGTGGCAGTAATTATGAAACAGACATAGCTAGCTATCTTGTATTATCTCTTCTAGCTTCTTCATTATTTTTAAAAACAGGTGAATAAACCCTCTCCTTCCAGAGGGAGTTGCAATGGACAATATTTATAATTGTTGAGCTGGGCCTGAGCTGCTGGACCTTCCTGAATGCAAAATACAAAAATCCAGGCCTGTGAAATGAATGAATTAGGAGGATATTACAATTTGCAAAAAAAAAATTGCATGTGGGTTCTTTTATCCTTTTTTTTGTGCTCCAGAACCTCTGTCATCACTGTCATCCCTCCGCGTTATAATTATCTTTCACATGTCAGCCTCTCCATGAACACAGACCCTGGGCTCCTTAAGGTCTGACAGCCTGGCACTGACCAGAGGAACCAGAGTAGCGACCCAGTAAATGTTTGTTGAATGAAGAAGTGAATGGTGCTTATCTATGTGGGTCTCTGGACCCAGCTATGCTTCAGTCACCTATGAGAATTTTTTTTAAGATTTTATTTATTTATTTGAGGGGATCTCTGGGTGGCTCAGCGGCTTGGTGCCTGCCTTAGGCCCAGGATGTGATCCTGGGGTCCCTGGATCGGGTCCTGCATTGGGTTCCCTGTGTGGAGCCTGCTTCTCCTCTGTCTTTGTCTCTGCCTCTTTTTCTCTCTCTGTGTCTCTCATGAATAAATAAACAAAATCCTTGAAAAAAAAAAGATTTTATTTATTTATTTGAGAGAGAGAGAGAGAGAACAAGCTGGGGGAGATGCAAGAGGGAAAGGGACAAGCAGACTCCCTGCCAAGCAGGAAGCCCAATGTGGAGCTCGATCCCAGGATCCCAAGATCATGACCTGAGCCAAAGTCAGACATTCAACTGACTGAGCCACCCAGGCACCCCGGAAGGTTTTCTTAAATGCAGAATTGAGTCAGAATTTCAGGATTTCAAGTCCCTGACCCTGGAGGCAGCCCCTTACACTGTGTAACTTCCAAAGGACTTGGAAGGGGTCCCCACTAGCTACTGGCCCAAGGGCTACAATCAGTCCTCTCTCCTATTTTGGCCCACAGCCTCAGATCTCCAATGACCCTGCACCCTAAAATCCTACCTCTGTTCTACAAGGGGTTCTCAGGGAGCCTTTTCCCATGCTCCAGTGTCTCCCCCTAATATCTACTTTCCTAGAGAGGTTCAGATGCCCCCACTAGGCAGTGACTGACATGGCTCTCCAAACCCACCCCTGAGGAGCCTGGCTGGGGCAGACAGAGGCTGACCTTGGGGCCACAATTTGAGGCAGTTCTGCCCACCTCAGGCAGTTGGCCCTGTAGGTCTCCCTGAAGATATGCTCCCTTTCCAGTCCAGGAGCAACAGAGTGGACCCCCACAAAGCTGGGCTGTGAGGAGTCACAGTAGCCATGGTCTAGCCTGTTCTGAGGCAAGAATGCTCCCAAGACTAATACTTTAGCATCTGGGACCGAATCTTCCTACTCTGGCGAGCTCAGAGAAGCGAGGCCATAGGCAGAGCCTCCCTACTTTCTCTTCTGAAAATTCCTCCAGGACTTGTGGGTAATGCTTCACTGATGAAATAGGGAGGCCCACTCCATAACCTTGCTGGGTCCTCTTGCAGTGTACACTAGTGGCAGGACCTTTCTGGAGCAAGTGAGCTGAGCATATCTCATTCCCAATCCCCATGTACTGGAGCCAGGCCAGGCCAGGCCTGTTTGGTTTGTGGTCATTGTTGTTGCTATTTTTGTTGAAGCATAGCATAAATACTAAGAAGTGCACAAATTGTAAGTATATAGAACTGTCACAACTGAACACACCCTTGTAATCAGTACCCAAATCAAGAAACCAGACATTGACAGCATCAAAGTCCCTCCTGAACCCCCTCCCAGTCATTATTCATTACCGAGGGTAACTACTACCCTGACTTCTAATATCATAGTTTAAAAAAAAAAAAAGCTTAATTGAAATTCACACACCGTACAATTGACCCATTTAAAGTGTAGAAGTTAATGGTTTTTAGTTTTTGGTGTATTCCTCATAGATTGGTGCTATTTTATATAAATTAAATTAAGTAGTTTGTACCTTCACATTATCTTCCTTATATCAACATTATTTTTGTGAAATTCGTTCATGTTGTACTTTATTCACTTTTACTGCTTTGTAGTTTGACGTACCACACGGTACTTATCAATGGGTATTTAGGTGGTTGCCAGTTATACTGTTGCTATGGATGTTCTTATACATCTTTGAGCAAATGTATGCACAGAGTTCTGCTGGGCACATTCCTGGGAGTGGAATTGCTGGGTTGTAGGGTGCACATGTGCTCAGATTTAGGAGATGCCAAAAATTGTTTTCCACACTGGTTGTAACAATGTCTACTCCCAGCAGCAATGTAAAAGAGGCCATAGTATTTACCATCAACATAACTGTGATTACCCCCTCAGATCCCTGCTGGGGTCTATTCTGTAGTATGCTCAGGCCTTGTACCCAAAATTGTAGCTTTCTGGCTCCTACCCCCACCAAGGAGATCTTTAGTCCAAGGTCGCCAAGGTCGGATGCCACACTGTCACCACGCTGTCTACCAGCCTCTCAGAGGGCAGGCTGGCCTTCTTTGTCTTATTTTTCACATTGTCATCTGCCAGGACCTCATTATCCAGGAGTGACAGCTTTTCCCCTGAGAGTCTTTAGCTCTTTATAGCCAATGAAAAACTCAGCACACGCATCTTTGTGCAAGGTGGTGGATAACTCTTGATCTTTTCCCGGCTTCTCATCCACGGGAGCAGCTGCCTCTAGAAAACACATAAAAGCCCTTATGTGATTTAAGGCCCCCCCAATCCGTGTCAGGCCCTAGTTGTGGAGTGTTTAAAGGCCCACAGATCCTAAAGCCACCCTGGCTACCCATGTCACCTAAACCAACCTTTTGTTCTTTCTCCATCCCCTAAGCAATATTGAATATTGACATCCTTCTGCACCAACCCTCATGTTGAGCATCTGTCTCCTAACACAGCCCCTGACTCAATTTCCCCTGGATCCCATCCATAGACCCTGCCCCACGTTCTGTCTCAGCCTCCCAAGTGCTGATTTCCTGCCCTGGTACTCCCACCCCTGCTCTCCCGCCTTCCCCTTCCCCTTGGTGCTCCTACAGCTGGGTACTTGGGCTTCCTCTTTCCTCAGGGGGTTGACGATCCCCAGGGAGAGAAAATGCTCTCCTGTTGCAGCGTTGCTCTGGGGGACATGTCGATTTAATTATTCACACGGTCTGTGGCACTCGTTCAGAGGCAGTGCACCCTGGTACACCGACACTGACCTACTTTGTACATTCTAAGGAAGGTAGCAATTGATTCGCTCTAAGCATCTGGGTTTATAATAGAATAATAATCCTAAGGAAAGGCTCACCCGAGTGATTAGCCTAGAGAGAAAGAGAGATCAAGTTGCATCTTTTTGTTCTTGCCCGAAGGATCTGCGGGGCCTTGAACTCTGCACCCCCTAAGCTATGTCGTGCCTGTCAGTTTGGCGGTGGCAGCCAGGGCTGGGAAAACAAAACAGTTGAAAGCCTGGCTTTTCCGAGAGCATCTGGGTCTCCATTGTACTGGGTCTAAAGGGATTTCTCTAGTACTTTAACAAATGCTTTGCCTGCTTTCAGAGGCCGTGGCAGGCTCTGCCTGGCTCCCCTGGCTCTGCCTCTAGTGCTTATGATCCTCCTCCCCGCCTCCTCCCTCCCAACCTGCAGGCCCTGCCCTCCCCAGGCCCAGAACCTGGGTTTCCTGGAAGCAAAGTGCCAAGACCACATGCTAGTTAATCATGCAGACCCCATTGAAGAAGGAGGTTATCTCCCGTGGGGAGGCAGGGGGCAGAGGGAGGAGAGAGAACAAGTGATACCAACTGTGTTTCTCAAGGTCCAGGATTTCAGATGGGTCATGAGGTCTTTTATTATTATTCTGCTTAACTTACTGATAAATTATATTTATTCTCTTGTGTAAAGCTAATGTTACATAATAAAGAACGTTAATGCAGGCTCTTGAGCTCCACCCCACCAATGGCTCTCCACTGCGGGGTGAGAATAACAGAATCAGGCTTTTTAACCTAAAGGCACAGCCCCTTCACTAAGATGTTGATAGAGGAGGCAGGCATGGGCAATGGGGAAAAACCTTCCAGGTGCCTTTTCTGCTTCCCGCTCCTCCAAAAACATATTAAGAACGACTGGCTAGGCAAGTGGTTTTCAACCCTTGGAAACAAGTTACATCAGAACGACTTGGGGAATTTTTTTTATGACAGCAGTATGCAGGCCTCAGGCCAGATCACTGAAATCTGTGTCTCTAGGTCTGCCTCTTCCCCATCAGTATTTTTTTTTAAGATTTATTTATTTATTTTAGAGAGAGAGGGAGCAAGTGGGGGCAGAGGCAGAGGGAGGAGAGAGAGAGAATCCCAACCAGACTTCCGGCTGAGCACGGAGCCAGACACAGGGCTTGATCCCACGATCCTGAGATCATGACCTGAGCTGAAACCAAGAACTGGATGCTCAACCGACTGAGCCACCCAGGAGCCCCTCCATCAGTATTTTAT